GCTATCAAAACAAATGAACTTCCTGGCTTCCTCCTGTACGATATATTTGATAATTGCGCATATGAGATAGAATTTCAGGAAGTCTGGTGGACGGATCACCGGCTGCTCTTTGTGGGCAGCTGCACGTGGGAGATCGAGTGGTGGCTGTCAATGGTGTTGATATTATCAGTTTGCCTCACAATGACATTGTTGCTCTGATAAAGAAATCAGGTTTATCAGTGAGGCTGACAATTTCGCCTTCATCAGCGGCAGATAATCACTTAGGTTTGCATTTCTGTTCTGGTTGCTGCCCACTGTTACAGAAGTATGCAGTATTGCGCTTAAAGTGTACTGGACCGACGAGTAGTGATTTAGGGACGTGGTGGGGCATCCGTTTCAGCACGCTGATAGGTTTCAAACAGTACTAGATGTAAAGAAATTACGATTTGTTAACTTTTCTGATTAGTGCATGAGCGGTCTTTACGAAATAAAAAATTTTCACCCGCACAGTTTTCTAAGGGACGGTTATAAGTATAGTTTGGGTGTGATATGTAACATTTGAAAGTAGGTTGCCCAGAGCAGGATAACTTGTCGAAACTACATCTGGCATCTTTTTTCGAAGCTGTATGGAATGCTTCACACTGACAGCTTGCAGTGATAGTGGTATTTTTTGAAGGTTCAAGTTCTACTAATAACCATAATTTTAGGTTCTTCAGCGCCTTACTATTCAACATCGCATATTGGTGCAACTTCTACTTATGGGCTTCCCCAGCAGTCGTATCAAAGAAATCAGTTTGCACCATCACACAACAAATTGTACGAGACGCAGCAATATAGATATGTTGGTGGAAACGGCTACCCAAGTGGCACTTCGCCAGTCCCACCAGAAGCGGTTCGTTCTCTCATATTTCTTGGAAATCACAATTCCAAAGGAATTCATTTCCATACGTGAAAATCGTAAAAAGTTTTTTTGCTGTAGTTGTGCGCCTGTTCCCTGCGTTCTGACTTTCCTGAGTGCTACGCGTTGCACGCATTCCTTAAAGCTTTCAAGCCAATGTACTAATTAGTGCGAGGTGTTCAATTTTGGCTCTAGTTTGAAAGCAGCAATGTTGTCAGAGTGAATGTGCGCACATGGAGTGACTGTTTCTCCATCAGTCGACGACTGGAAAAGGTTTTTTGACCTGCATTGCTGTCAGCTTCTTTTGCACATTTCTGATGGTCTGCAAGCTACGGTTGTGTCGTTGAAAGTACCGTCGATAAATTTATCTGCTGCACTTAATATTTTATTTTACAGCACTGGAACTTGTTGCTAGTTCGTTCCAATTAGAGCCCGCTGGATAGTTTTCGAAAATTGCTTGTAGCCCTAAAGCATTCCATACTTTTCGCTCCGGATTACTTTTATTATTGATGAGGGCGCATCAAACCGTTAGGCATTACTCTGGTCGAAATATTTGATTGCTAATGATAGGTGTGGTAGCTTTGCAATTCGCATTCTTAGCAGACAGAGTAGTAAGTCTTTTCCAGGTAAAAGCTTGCTTCTGCACGGTTTTGTAAATTTCTTTTCTAGCGTGCTTTCTTTTCGAACGCACAACAACTGCAAAAAAAAACAGGTGTTGTTTTTGTCGAACTTTGAAAAAAATC